AGAATGGGGTTATCTGAAGTGAGGGGGTGGATATAATGGGGGTGCGAACTGACGGCCGGTGGGAGGAAGGTGGTTGGGGTGGAGTTTTTTGATATTGTTGTGGAGCGAAAGAATGGGCTGGGGGTGTTGTGGATAGGAGAAGGGGGGACCTGGTGCAGGAGACGCCGGAGTGGATGTGAAGGCAAAGAATCCGAAGGGCGGGGCGGGGAGGGGTGGTGCGAGAGGAAAGGGGAAAAGGGGAGCTCCTAGGCTTAGGGTTGAGGGGGAGATGGATGTTATTGGGGCGAACGATATATGAATTTGGAGGAATGTGGAATGTACATGTTACATGTGCGTTCCGCTGGTGCTGTATAACTTCTGCTCCGCCCCCTGTGTGACCGTCTCCCGGGCAGATTTTTATTACACCCGCCAGCGTCCGCGACGAGGATCCCCGGTCTACATCTACTTCCTCAGCAAGAACTGATATAGTCGGACGGTGATCAGAAACAGTTTCTCATCTCATGCTTGGACTTATGGCCAATTGGGCGTGTTTCTCAGCCCCAACAGGAACCCAAAGCTTCCTGTCCTACCTACCTACGTACTAACTTTTGACTACAGAGCAGCAGCCTACAACATCAGTTAGTTCTTCGTTGTGGACGAAAAGGCCTAGATTTCACAATTTCAAAACATCCACAAACCCAGGGGGCGGTCGTGAAAGGGTACATTCATCCAATCATGAATAGAAGATAGAGAGAGAAAAATTGGAACCATCCTCATTTTCCCCCAAGGTATGTATTGTATGCTGTGTACCTTACGAGCCTTATCATTATCATATCAGACCTAGGCAGGCCAGATTAAATAACCGATTCCGTGAAAGAAAAGAGACAGGGTGGAAACAAGAACTAGTGTTTAACTAATGTTTCTGCCCAAGTGGTTTTTTTTGTCTAGACCTTGATGAATATTGCTGAAATTTATAAATAGCAAAAATAAGAATAGCAAGAGGAAGAGGAAGACAAACTAACTAACTGTGATTGATGAGTGAGTGCACAGTGCAGCTTGATTTCTTCTTCGGTGTCTTCCTACTAATAATGAATTAATTGACGGGAACCTTGGGGATAAATTTTACTTCTCTCAGTTTTCTAAGGCAAAATTTCCACACGGTACTCTGTATTTTATATTTTTTTTTTACCTCTTATTTATTCCTTCTTTCAAGTTGTGTGATGAATAGGAAATCTCAGAGACGAATCCCATCCCAGCTACTTCTCTTCTCAACCCACCTTCGTTCAAGGAGACATTTCTGCAATTAAGTAGTAAAAGAAAAATTAAGCGATGGTGGGTAGGTTGGGTGGGTAGTAGTGAGGAAGGGAAAAAAAAAGGGAATTCATTTTCTTCTGCTTCTTCTTTTGAACAGGGATTAGGTGTATTCTTATAACTTCCCAAGCATTCATACCTGGAATCGAGCTGCTGGGATTGATGTTGAGTGTGTATGTGTATTATTGAGAAGTATTTCTATTTGCTGCTAGGGGCCAATGATAGCTTCATTCATTGTCATCTGCAGACAACACAACTCAGCAAACTGCAAGAGATGAGATGATGCGGGGCAATAGAGGCTGCAGCAGACATATACACACATGCATCTATTTGATTTGGTAATATCTCCTTTCCAATTGAAATGCTTTCTCTCATTCTTTTTTTTTTTTTTTTTTTTTTTTTTTTTTTTTTGTTTTTTGTCAGTTCTGCTTCTTGTTCAATTGAATGAGCAAAGATGACGTAGAGATCAAGGGGTCCAAGTTATTCGTTGATGTTAACGTAGTCCTAGATGATATGACGAAATATTGAAAAATAAAAATAATGTGGAGAAGCAAGGTAGTTAGTAGTAAAAGATGAATACAATACGGTGGAGAGGACCACTCGTTCCATGGAGGATGATAACATTATTGAGCTATTATTATTGTCTCAGTAGTCAATGGAGCGTGTAGATTTGGCGAAATCGCCCACATGCTGTTGCACCCTCGAAACCTTGCCCTGCGCATTTGCAGTCAACCCAGGTTTGATGGTGTCTTTTATTTTATTTTTTACCCCGAACTAGGCCATCCATTGATAACCCACGGCTGGGCAATGAAGGGGGTGACGCAAATGTTTTGATGCCAAATTCAAAATTTTTTATTATTTAATTTTTTATTTATTTACTTGTTGCCTACGCTGAACTGGCCAGAACCACAGACAGCACGATGAGGCAGCCGGCCAATAACATGGAAGAAGAGCGGAGAGTGAGTGGTCGATGTTGCGGGCTGATGCGGGTTTCCAAGGGGCGACGAACTTACCCTTACCACTGAGCCCGGGGGAAGAAGAGAGGGAAAACGGATGATGTAACTTAACTAACTAGGGAATAATGGAGAAAAGTCTTATTTTTCGCGCGCGGAAGACGAGGAGAAAGACCCCCCCGCCAACCACGATGGTGCGTTGTGATGTTGGCAGGCTTGGATTAGCTGGAAGGTTAGTGCGAAGGTTTTTGATACGGACTGGGCTGCAGTCAATAATGTAGTTAGTTATGTATGTATGTATGTATGTGCGGAGTATGTATGTCTGGGAGAGAGCAGTTCATAGAAACCCCACCGTTCGTTTGTTCGCGTTGCATGCTTAGATTAAGTTTCATAACCAGACGCGCAGTAGAACAGTTTAGATGGGAATTATGCCATTCAGACCTAGAATGTATGTCTCTGCATCAAAACAGAATTATGGATACCTCTCTATCCAGCAGGAATAGCATGCAGGTATGCAGGTAACTATAGGCAGGCATGCGGGCCAAGGAAACAGGGTAGCAAGCAACCTTGGGGACTTTGGGCGGGCTCAGACCCCTCGCGCACGCATGGTTATTGGTCTGGTCTGTCTCCAGGGCTCTCTCAGTCTTTCCGATCCGAGCAATGAGGAGCCGATAAACAAGCATGCCGCTGGTGATTAGTTAGCTGATAATAATAGCCAGACCGAGGAGGGGAAGAGAAGGAGAACTTTAGGAAGAGGGAAGAGGGAGGTCTTGCAGCATTACACACCCGTTACATACGTAATGAGGGCCCATCCTGCCCAATCTTTGGCTGCTTTTGCTCCCGAGCCTCCGTCATCAAAACCCAGAAAAATACAAATACAGCGCAATACCGCTAAAAATAAATACGCCCCAAACTGGGACTTGCGGCGGGAGTGTAATCACGTGCACTGGGCGAACCTACCTAGGCTAGTCCGTGTATGCGTAAGTACCGCCCCATAATAAAATGTATGGGGAAGTACCCACCTGGATTGGTGACTAACCCTGCCTTGCCTTGCCTTGCCGTTCTCTTTTTCTCGACGCCCATCGCCATCGCCATCGCCATCTTCAACTTCAACTTCAACTTCAACTTCATCATCAACCACCAACTACAGAGTAAATCTAGCAGATATCTGCGAGTGCTGCCGGTTCTCGTATACTAGCTAATCACCCACCGTCCATTCTCCTTCTCCTTCTTCTTCGTCTGTCATCTTCTCGGCCTTTTCGCTTCTTTCGTCTTCCTTCTCATAATCATCCATCCATCCAAGAGAGACTGTGCCTTCGACCGGTCTCCCTATCGCCATTAATCCATCCTTGCCCTGTGTTCGCATACAGCTGAGCCTGAGCTAGTCCGCTCGTCTTTGTCTGTCTCCTCGCGATTTCAAACCTCAACCGTGGATATTCTCGAGTGGTGCGTGCATTTCTATTTCCTATCTATCATAGCCTAATTTCTTTTTTCGCGTGACTGCGCCCGGCTTTATGGTGCCGCGCGCGTGTTTTCTCCCTCACTTTTTTATTTTTATTTTTATTTTCAATAAAGCCTCTTCGCCTTATATCACTCCTTTGCACTTGTACAAAAAGTACTTGTGTGCCTCCTTGGATCCATCTGCTAATTATATATATCTCTTTGCGCTGTCAACAGAATAAAACAATCATCCCCTATATCCGCAATCATGGCGACTCGTCCAGCTTCGTCCAGCATTGCCATGGCTCTTGCTGGCAAGACCGCCTCTGTTGAGATCCCCAAGCCGCGTGATAGTGGCTTATCTCCTGGCAGGGACAGCTTTGCTGCTGTTCCAGGCCGTCACCACCGCCATAATCAACCCACCATGTTACCTACCCCTCCCAATTCCCTCTCCCCTAACATGCCACCCCATGCCTTCAAACGCCAACATTCGGATCTTCCCGCCTCGCCGCCCTACGTCCCCTTGCACGTCGATTCTGATATCGACCTGCAGGATGCTGTCGACCATGCGAAAAGCCAGGACCAGCATCACCATATCCCCTTGGTGGCAGAGAACCTGACCTCCCTCGCTGGGTCCGATGCGATCTCTCCCGGAATGCTGGCGAAACACCACCTCCCTGATATCCTTCTCACTCATGGCCCTTTGGCTATAAGGCACATCATCGGCTACCTGACTACTTCGGTACCAGGTTTCTCCAGGATCCCTCCTGCCAAAGCACGCAGACTTGTCGTAGGAGCCCTAGAAGGCAGGGGAAGCGGCGGCGAAGGTGCAGGAGTCGATGGAGACGTCGAGTTTGAAAAGGTCGGCTGGGGCAGGTGGGATGCGAGGCGTCGTAACCAACCTCCCAAGCACAGTGGAGATGGCCCCACATCTCCTCCAGGAAGTGTGCCGTCCTCCTACTCTCGTCATGACAGGATCCGGATCCAGATCCCTGCTGGTCGAAAGCCCCGGGACGTTTCTGGCCAGTGCGGCTCCTCGATGGCAGGAGATTCCGTCGTTTTCTCTCACTCTGACTTCGACTACAGAGACCATGAAGATATCAGTATGTTAGAGCACGAGGCGGACAAAATGTCACTCGACGGAGACGATCGAGTTTCCTACTGTTCCTCATCCGAAACTCCAGAGGATGAAATACCTATGGACGGAGATTGGGATGAGGCAGACGCCACAGATGAAGAGGACTGGGCGCAGATTGGAGCTGCCGCCCTCAGGGCCAGGTCTTACCCTAGTGCCCCTGGGGGTGGTGCTGACGTGAACAACAACAATTCTCATTATAATTATAATACCTACGCGGCTGGCTCCAAAAGTAGGAGTCGGGGCTATGGTGGTGGACCTTCATACTCGGCCCTCACCAAATCCGTCCCCGGCGGCATTCCCCTTCAACATGTCGATTTTTCTTTCCCCGACGGTGTTAGAGGCGATATCGAAGAACGCGCAGCAGTCGAAGCGCTCCTGCAGCTCGGTTCTATGTAACACCATTCTTTACGGTTTTCTCTACCCTCACATACCGTTCGACACGCCACATCAACAACATACCTAATCACATATTTTAACATACGGCATCATTCATATTCAGCGTATCTTCATTGGTAAGGCCGGACCGGACCAGACTAGGCCTTGGTTTTTTATTCTTGTCACCATTACTATTATATTATTTTTATTACCATTCACAACGTCTCACGATTATTGATATTTTCGACACATTCCCTTCCGACACATACACTCACATGCCCGCCAGACTGACATTGTATACGGTGGAGCAAGGGAAAACGCTCCAACCCACGATCAGACAAACACGTGGGAAAACTATGGGAAACACAAATGGGCACAACATTGGGTTTGGTAAAGGTTTTATTTCATGCCTTCAGCGATGGCATGATGGCGTTCTTATGTCTTTTGTTTCCTTTTGTCTTATTCCCTTTGTAGCTGTTTCTTTTGTCTTTTTCTTTTGTCAATATCCCCGTATGCATTAACACGAAGCTTTTTTTCGTTTCTTGTGGTTTTATTATTACTTTCTTTTGTACTTTCTTGTCCTGTTCCCACTTACTACATTGATTTGGGTGTCAATGACGGCGTTGAAATTACCATTCACGCCTATTAACGGTTTACTGAACTCGTATTTTTTTCCCCGTTAATTTTTCTCTTCTCATACCCTCAATACTCTCTACTCTGGCGACTAGACATTGCTGCTTCCTTTTCTTTCCGCTTCTAAAACTCTGCTTTGTTTATATCATATATTCCCCATATACCCACTCCCTCCTTTGGCTCTTCTCTCCGCGCTCATATCTTGAGCAGCTTTGATCATGCGCTACCGACAATGCAGTAGCACATCACTTCTTGAGAGAGAAAAATAGAATCTTTGGCCCTCCCTTTTTCTATATATTTATCTACCTATTTTATTTTTCCAGTCACGTCAGCATTTGTTTTCTTATTTTTAACCATCTCATTCATACAACATTTTTAATCAATTTTCCAGTGTTTTCTTATTTGAATGAACTCCTTTTTCTTTGTCTATTTTGCTATTCCCCTCTCTCTTTTTATATCATCTTTGATTTTCTCCTTTGACATTTCCTTTGTTGATATTGTACTTGATGTACTGGCCGTTTGTGAATAACGTCTCGAAATACATACAAAAAAAGGAGAAAACAACAACACTGAAAAAAAAGGAAGGAAAAAAAAGGAAGGAAAACAGGAAAGAGGCACTAAAGCATCGATTTGACAGCTAAGAGAAGGAAAAAGAGAAAAAAGGGAGAAAGAAAGAGTGGCATAGGAAACTTGGTCGTCTTAAGTGTACTGCACTGAGTTTTTTATTAAACTTTTATTTCCCCCTATCTCTCTTGCTTACATCTTATCTTGTATTGTGATGATGATTTCTTTTTTTTTCTTCTTCATTCGCTCCGCGCCTCGGTCGTCTTAACTGTACAGTACTGGGTGGTGCTTTAGAGCTTCAAATTTTCGAGCTTTTCTTCTTCTTTCCTTTCCTTTCCTTTTCTATTTCTAGTTGGGATTGAAATGAAAATGAATAACTATGGTTTGGCCGGCTCATATCTATCCTATCGATTTTATTTTTTTTCTTTTGTGTGTGATTTTCAATTCTCCTTTTTGATTCTTTGCTACATACCATACCCCTATCACCACTGTTATTTACTATACACACCTTAGATACTCTTATAATATCAGATACTGATATATATATATATATTCAGTTTAAGTGTGTCTATATATGCACATATTTCATTTCTTTAGTTTCTATATTCAATATTCAAGCACTTGACCTTCTCACTGTGAAATGTGAATCAATTTGAAAAGACCTCATGATCATCTATCTATCTGATGTCACCGTCAAGTAGTTACTGAAACATCTAGTGAGCAAAATAATAACCTAACTTAGCCCATCTAGACTAAAAAGCCCGTAGAAGAAAGCAGATCTGAACGATTAGATTATATCATACAAACTCAAAGTCTTAACATGGATCAATATTAGAATCCACAATCACCTATTCATCCAAACACCATTATCCATAATTCCCAAAAACCCAAGATAAAATAATAATCCGAAAAGCAACCAAGCCCAGCCCAACTCACAATATACAAAAAATCCACCCTTATCCCCTTCGTAAACAAACCCCCTTCACCATTCTCTCCCCCCTTTTCCTTTTTCCCCCTCCTCACACCA